CCCCAAAACCCCAAAACCCCAAAACCCCATATCCAATCTTGTTGGTAGATTTAAGAAGATTTTTAAAGAATCACAGAATATGTCGTATTTGGTTGGCCGCTTCATAACAGAGGAAGGGAAGCAGAACTTCAGTAAGTGTGAAAGTTCATTCTTCTCTTATAATCTTTCAGGCTAGTTTTAACTTAGTTTTGATGCTAAACCTGGAATATAGAAAACTATAAATACGTTTCAGGGGAATACTCTTCAACAGATTTGCTACTCAATCCCTTTTGGGAATGGACAACAGAGCTGTTTCCGATGTGGATGGCGCCTAATCTCATAACTTTCATGGGACTTTTGGCTGCAGTTTTGCCTTGCATGCTGATGCTTTATTATGATTTAGGGAAAGCATATTTATCAACTTCTCAGCCACTTCCGGAATATACTTACCTTCTTGTAGCTATTGGGACCTTTGTATATCAGACTCTAGACTCAGTTGATGGAAAGCAAGCGAGAAGAACAGGAAGTAGCTCTCCTCTAGGCCAGCTCTTCGATCATGGCTGCGATTTTGTGTGTTGGGTCTTCTCGATTATTGGAGTAATAGCATTTCTTGAGCTTGGTCTTTGATTTAATGGAGTTCTTGCAATATATTCCACAATTGGTCCCTTCTTTTTCTTCAACCTCTTGGAATACTATAGTGGGGTATACCACTATGTGGTCGGAGGTATTGACGGAACAAGCAGTCAAATGCTTGTGATATTCTTGTATCTTTTGCCTTTTATTTTTGGTGCTAATGTTTATCAAAGCAAAATATCTGAAATCTTACCTTTTATGCCCGGTTCTTTGATAGAAGGGTTTTTGCTAAAAGATGCTGTAATTCTGATTGCTGTATACATAGGTGTTGTCTGTTCCATTCCTTTGATTTTCAAGACTTTCTCTAGTATTAAAGAGCCTTACTTAAAACTTATTGCTGCCCTGCAGACAATCCAGCACTTGGCGATTTATGTATGCCTGTATATGGTTGATCCGACAATTCCTTTTATTAAAGAGAATGCTAGCTTGGTCTATCTACTTTTTGGAATGCTATTTGCACTGGGAAATTTCAAGCTGATCGTTTGACATATGGCAAAGATGCAATTTGAAATCGTCTGTTTTGAACTCCTGTTGTTTGTTCCTTATTTTTATTTTCAGAGCCATTACGATGGATCAAAACAAAGTGAAGATAACATAAAACTAGCGTTTCATGCTACTTTTTTAGTGATGTTTATTATTGTTGCAAGATTTACACAGACTAGTATCACTCAGATGACTCAATATTTGGGAATTTCTTGCTTTACTATTGAGAATAAGAAAAAAACATCCTAGATGCGTTAGCAGGTGTAAAACTTCATTGATTCAATCTTAATAACGTATTTTGGGGTTTTGGGGTTTTGGGGTTTTGGGGTTTTGGGG